AACATTATGCCTCAGAAATTCATCGCTTAGAGATGGTATGACGTCATCTCTCGAGTCAAGACAGGCTAAAGGCCGTCACACGACCAACTTGAGAGATGCAGTGACGTCACCGCGTGTTTCGAAATTTCCAAACTTGGAGCTTTTTGATAATTTATTTAAATATGAACAAGGGCTCGGAAAATTATGAAATTTTGCACAACTGCTAAACTCAATACGCTCTTTTAGAATATGTAATAAAAAAAATATGCTGAACGAGCCTATTCTCCACTTGATTTTTTCAAAAATCAGTTTTTTACTGTACAGGGTGGTCCAAATTGGACACTTTCTTATGGAAACACCCTTTATTTTTAGAGATAGAAAAAAATGGACTTCTCACTTTGAGGCTCAAATTTCATGAAATCTTGATTGGTGCAAACCGCACTTTGATATCTTCAACCTTTTAGCCGCTAGAGGGCGATTCTCGATTTTGAGCAATACTGTAAAGCCTCCATAACTTTTTTGTTTATGAAAATAATTCATTTCCGTGAAGACCTTTTCGAAGCTCTTTTTCAAGCAGAATTCAGTAACGTTCTCAGTTTTTCTTGGTCTGGCTTCGATTTTTTTTTTTTTTACGGATATGCGCACTCGCAAGGAAATGTCCTATCACGCTCGAGAAGCGGCAAGTGCGCGGAAATGTCGGTGTATGTTGGTCTTGAAACGGTTCAGGTTGTAACCTGCAGGGAAAACCGTCGCAGGGAGTTTATTCCACAGCGATGCTGTTCTCCAGAGATATGAATTCTGATATAATGAGGTTCTTGGTGCCTCTAGTTTGACAGTAAATTCATGGTTACCGTCTGTTTGACGGGTTCGCCTGGTAGGTGCTACTCTCGGTGGAATCATACGTGCCAACTCTTCAGAGCATTTTCCGTGATAGTACCTGTAGAAGAGAGATAAATCGCCCACAGATCTGCGATGTTCGAGACCATCCAAGTTACGAGTAAGTGCGGGGTCATTGATCAGCTTGATAGCTCGTTTTTGCACGGTATTCAAAAGCATTAAGGTATGTTTGGGTGCTGCACTCCATATATGTGAGCAGTACTCCATAGTTGGTCGAATCTGGGCTTTGTAGAGTGTCAGCAATTGGCTTGGTGTGTACAGATGTCTTGTACAAAATAGCACCCCCAGCTTTTGAGAGGCCCTTTTAGCAATATCTGCCACGTGACTGTGCCAAGACATGTTGGTCTCTGCAGTAACCCCCAAGATGTTCAACTGACTCTGTAATGTGACAGCACTTCCAGATAGCATGATGTTTGGCTCGCTCGAGATATTGACCAAAATCCGATTTTTTTCAATAGAACACCCTATATATTAATAGTTCATTAGAAAGCTATGCTTTCGCTGATTTCAATGATATAAAGTTCGATAGGTTTATCTCTAACAGTTTTCGAGAAAAAAAATTATTTCGGTTTTTGTCATAAGAAACAATGTGTTGGAAAGGGACTTTATCTCTGTAAGGAAACTGAGAAAGGTCTCTTTCTAACTCATTGTTTCTTATGACAAAAACAGAAATAATTTTTTTTCTCTCGAGAACTGTTAGAGATAAACCTATCGAACTTCATATCATTGAAATCAGCGAAAGCATAGCTTTCTAATGAACTATTAACATATAGGGTGTTCTATTGAAAAAAAATCGGATTTTGGTCAATATCTCGAAATTGAAGCCAGACGAAACAAAACTGAGAACGTCACTGAACTCTGCTTGAGAAAGTGCTTCCAAAAGGTCTTTACGGAAATGAATTATTTTCATAAACAAAAAAGTTATGGAGGCTTTACAGTAAAGCTCAGCGGCTAAACGGTTGAAGATATCAAAGTGCGGTTTGCACCAATCAAGATTTCATGAAATTTGAGCCTCACAGTGGGAAGTCCATTTTTTTCTATCTCCAAAAATAAAGGGTGTTTCCATAAGAAAGTGTCCAATTTGGTCCACCCTGTACAGGGTTATTGGTTATGTTATAATTGTCACCCTCCTCTACTTTTTTATTTGAAATTTCAGAGAGAAGTGTCCTGAATAAAAGTTTTATGGTTGAAATTATTATTATTTTGTTTTTTAATTCACTTTTGCATATATGTTTCAGAAAAGCTGGTTGTGTTCCAACTTTTTTATTCTAAATGGAACACCATGTATATTATTGAATATACGGATTCTTCGTAAAATTCTGACCACATTTCATCTAATATACCTGTACCTATGTAAGTTCAACTGTTTTGGCAATATTGACAGTTGAAAATTGACTTTTTTGCAACTTTGACAGGCTGTAAAACCTAAGCGGATGATTTTTTACATTCTTATCTAGTACAGTAAATAGAGACAAATAAATCGCATTTACTAAAAAAAAATACTTAATGGCTGAAATTTTGAGGGTGTGTTCGGGGGCATGTCCTGAGTCTAAAACTGAGTTTTCTTATTCGAAGGGGTGGGGGAAGATACTACCCCCTCTTTATGTAGGGTTGAGTTCGTTTTAATTCCTTATCTTCTGTGCTATTGCCCGTACCGTCAAGTCCGAGAGATCAAATTTGTGGGAAATAAAATTATCCATCTAATGATAATAAAATCAAGGTCATAGGACGATTAGGTGAATCACAATGGCCGGTCAAAGGTCAAAAGTGGGGGGTAGTTTTTGATGGTTTTTCGTGAATACCGTGAAACCGGTAAGTTTTTTCGCATACTGCTTCGATACCATTTCGAAGTACTATAAGTACTTGAAATTACCTACAAAATGAGTGCTCAAACCGAGGCTCAAACACTCATCTACTGTGAATAGTTTGCCGTCAATCCAACGACCAAGTTGACCGCGCGCGCCGATGTTGTACTTCCCGATAAGCTAGAAAGTTGAAATTTTCAGGGTACTTAGAACTTTTAATTTTGTCGAGCCAAAACAAATTTCATTCCCCCCTCCCAACCCTGGGAAACCCTGGGGGGCTGTCAAAGTTTTGACTTTCGACCCCTGTACAGCCCAAACGGGTGGGGAGGGGGGGGGGGGGGGCGCGGAAATGAAATTTTCAGGGGAAGTAGAGAAAAAGTTCCTCTATCGAATGGATAGGGGGACAAATTTTTAAAAAATTTTGGAGGGGGGGGGAAAAACATGAAAAACGCAATATCTCGAGAACTTTGCGATCTAAAAATGACTGATTTGGATGAAATTTAAAGTGTAGGTGAAAGGGGTCTAAAAAAGGTTTAATTTCAAGTTTCAGCTCTCTACGACATAATATAGGAATGGTTTTAGCCCCTATCTCCCAATTTTGAGAAAGGGCGTAGAATGTGGTATACGCGTTTTGGATTTATTATCACGAATTTTGAAAAATTAAAATTTTAATCGGATAGAGGAGGAAAAAATACGTCGAAAATGTCTCTAGGCGTTTTTTGCTCTGACGCTTCCTGACGGCAAACTATTCACAGTAGATGAGTGTTTGAGCGCTCATTTTGTAGCTTATTTCAAGTACTTCGAAATGGTATCGAAGCAGTACGCGAAAAAACCTACCGGTTTCACGGTATTCACGAAAAACCAAAAACTACCCCCCACTTTTGACCTTTGACCGGCCATTGTGATTCACCTAATCGTCCTATGACCTTGATTTTATCATCATTAGATAGATAATTTTATTTCCCACAAATTTGATCTCTCGGACTTGACGGTACGGGCAATAGCACCGAAAATAAGGAATTAAAACGAACTCAACCCTACAGAAAGAGGGGGTAGTATCTTCCCCCACCCCCTCGAATACGAAAACTCAGTTTTAGACTCAGGACATGCCCCCGAACACACCCTCAAAATTTCAGCCATTAAGTATTTTTTTTTCGTAAAATATCCCTATTTACTGTACTAATCTTAGATTTTCATAAACTATCATTTGACAGCAACTTTGAATTTGATCCATGGTTGATAATTCTAATTAAATTTAATCTCCAGTTAAATTCAAAGTTGGTGTTAAAGTTTATGAAAATAAATCCAAGGTGAGAACATGAAATCGGTTTTGCTATAAAATAAACCGTTTAGGTTTTACAGCCTGTCAAAATTGCAAAAAAGTCAATTTTCAAATATCAATATTTTCAAAACAGTTTAGCTTTGGTATAGGGTATATCACATTAACCCATTAACCCTGTACAACTTTACACTTTTTTTAAACATTTTCTCTGGATTTTTCAAAAGTAAATACATTTAGGGCAAATTTAGACCATTTTGTGGTTTTAAATGTAATTTTGAATCAAAAATACATCAAGAAAGGATTTGTTAGCTTTTTTTTTTTTGCTAAACGCACACTTTGAAACTATATTGAATAGATTTTCATTAGAAAGATGTGAAAGATCGCGGGTGAGGTTCCTTTAGTTTTATTTTTTTCAATTTCATGAATAGCTTGTTCATCAAGAGAAGAATATGAAGCCACATACCTTTATCTTTTTGAAATTAGTAGAATATTGAAGGAATTGGTATCCTACCATTAAGCATTCTATTATTATTAAGTATGTCATTAATTCAAAAAGTGTAGGTTATTCTTTACAGAAACATTTTAATTTATAAACGCAAGTACCTATGTATCTGAAGAATGAATACACAAGCTTATTTTCAAGATTTTTAGAATTTAGAAGATTTACAGAGTATCAATAAAATTCATCTGTGCCTGGTCTGCCATAAACTTATCTTCAACTCAGGATAAAAGTTACAAGCAAAAAGAGTGTCATCAATTAGGGGTCAATAATGATTATTATTGCTTATTGGTGATTTCATCAACAATTGCTGTGCCGATTTTTTCGATGTTAGTATAAATTGAATTTATCCTCAATTGCTGTAAGATTTCATTTAATAGTTACCTATTTAGGACAAATAAAACTAAATTAATAGGTACAAGTCTTTCTATGGTAGGGAAAAAAATTAGATTCGAGCTCGGATCCGACCTTGTTTGCAAATCTTGAAAATTAACAAAAATATCTTGAAATGACTCCAATTTTTTTTATTTATTTGCAGAAGGCGTACTAACCCAATGTGACGCAAAATACGGCGCCATCGAAAACTTGGAAGGCGACCTTCAAAGATTTGCCAACTCTCTTCTCTACAGATCGTTCGATTTCCTACTTATGGCCACTCACTACGGAAACTACATCAAAAATCGTGCTGGTTTCGAAAAACTTTTCAGAGGCCTCTCTGACGACTTATGGGACGACGGAATCAACACTATCAAATATATGACTAAACGTGGTGCTAGAATGAACTTCAACAATATTGCATCTGAACTTGAACAAGAGAAGCCTTCTCTTGAACTCTTCGAGTTGCAAGCCATTGGTAGGGCTTTGGATATCGAAAAGAAACTGGCCAAAGATGCTTTTGACTTGCACAAGGCAGCTTCTGGACACAAAAATGACCATCACGATCCAGAAGTCGCCCATCACCTGGAAGAAAAGTTTATGGAAAAACACAGGGATGCGATCAGAACTTTGGCTGGACATGCTAAGGATCTTAGTAGCTTGTTGGACGGACCTGATGCTTCTTTGGGTCTTTATTTGTTTGATGATTATTTGCAAAAATAAATATATTTATCAGTGATAGTAATATTAATTTGTTAAGATTTAAGTAGTTTCGTTTTCAAAGTTATCTTTTAATTTTTTTTTTAGTATTTGATGTATGATAATATAAACACCCTTGTGATGTTATAGTTCAGAATATTTTGAAGAAGTATAGAAAAATAATAAAATACCTTTTGTTGTTTTTTATTATTATAAAATTCCCTGTCATATTGAAAATAAAAAAAAAAAAGATTTATTTTTGACTACTGATTTCCTAATATTTTACTCCAGTAGTCTAAATTAATTAAATCAATGATTTCCTATTTTGATAGTTAGTCGATGAAATGATGCTTTTCTGTTTCATTTGATATAAAAAAAATTAAGTTTGAAATATTTTAGGATCTGAATCTATAACAGTGATCTTTCAAAGGGAGCACATTTCAGTTCCTCGAGTAGCTTAATTCTTAAATTAAAAGGGTCTATGTTCATATTTCGAAAACAGACATTTCGAATCTTTTATTTCGAGTGCTTTTATTTCGAAAATTAATCATTTCGAAAACATTTCGTTTTATAATGAAATACTTTTTTTTCGAAATTCAATTATTTCGAAAACATTTAATTCGAAACTTTTATTTCCAATTACTTTTTTTTCGTAATTCAATATTTTCGAAAACATTTATTTCGAAAACTTTTATTCCGAAATACTTTTTTTTCGAAATTCAATTATTTCGAAAACATTTAATTCGAAACTTTTATTTCGAATTACTTTTTTTTCGAAATTCAATCATTTCGAAAATATTTATTTCGAAAACATTTATTGCGAAAACATTCATATCGAATGACTTGCCTTTCGAAATTCAATAATTTCGAAAACTAAAATTTTGTTTGGGTTAGTTGGTAGTTTAAAATTTCAATCAGAAATTACCAAACTTACCAATTATAATAACCTGGTTAGTTTGGGTTAGTTTGCAATTATAATCAGACATTAAATTGCAGAATAACCCTAACTAACCAGGTTATTATCGGTAAGTTTGATAATTTCTGACTAAAATTGCAAACTAACCCGGTTATTATCCGTAAGTTTAATATTGCCTACTGGAGAGCACTGGCACAGAGGACATATATGTTATTATTATTGAGTTTCGAAATAGATGTTTTCGAAACGATTGAATATCGAAATTATTGTTTTCGAAATAATTGAAGATCGAAATTATTGTTTTCGAAATTAATGTTTTCGAAATTATTGAATTTCGAAAAAAAAGTAATTCGAAAAAAAAGTTTTCGAAATAAATCTTCTCGAAATTATTGAATTTCGAAAAGAAAGTAATTCGAAATAAGTGTTTTCGAAATAAATGTTTTCGAAATTATTGAATTTCGAAGAAAAGGTAATTCGAAATAAAAGTTTTCGAAATGCATGTTTTCGAAATGATTGAATTTCTAAAAAAAGGTGATTCTAAATAAAAGTTTTCGAAATAAAAGCATTCGAAATAAAAGATTCGGAATGTCTGTTTTCGAAATATGAACATAGACCCAATTAAAATTAGTCTGCAAACTGAATGATCTAGATACCATCTTGTTTGTTTCAGCAAATTTCAAAGATCAGAAATTGATTCCGAGCCCACAAGTGTACAAATATGACCTTTCTTTGTCTGGATTATAGAAAACTATGGCTTTTTAGGAGAAGGCATATTCTGTTGTACCAGGCCCTGTCTATGAGATTACTTTCTGACTGCCATTTTTGTTTTGTTTATCGATACCAACGAAACTTGGTAGGGTTGCTATTCTAACGCAACGACATTTTTAAGCATCTCATCAAGTTTTCCTAACTTCCGGTTTCACCGGAAATGACCGCAACTTTTGATTTTCGAATGGCACATCTTGTATATTTCTTGTTTTTTGGATTCTACAGATCGTTTTACGTCCTAAGGCACCACTTTTAAATCGGTTTTTGTCCAAAATCTTGTTTTTAAATTAAACTTTAATTTTTTATCTAGAGTGCCATGATCATTCTAAAATCACTCTACATAGGTACTTCATTTACTTTCAGAAAAATACAAACTCAATTTTATCTTCGTGAACTTTCTTGATAGAGGGATGAAAAGTTCATTATTTTAGTATTTTTGACATAAACTATCTGTAGAATTCGAAAAACAAAAAATATACAGGGTGTGCCAGGCTCAGTAGACCTGGCCCCCCCCCCCCCCCAGTTGATAATTTTTATCCAAAACGCTAGCCCTCGTTCTCCAGAGCTAGCGCAACCTAGTGCAACTTTTTCGAAAGCTAGCGCAGCTACAGGTCAAAAGATATGTGGCTTTATATTCGGGGGGGGGGGGCTAGGGTGACGCTAGCCCCCACAGTGGCGCAATTAGGGGGGGGGGGGGCTGAGGGGGGCTTAGCCCCCCCAAGCTCAAGATTAGCCCCCCCAAACCTGATGGTCACAAACATGATGTTAATGACACAAATTAGCCATCCGCCCTCCCAAACCCGAGCGAGCAGATGTAAGTAGCTTTCCAGTGACGCACTTTAAGCACTCCTGAACTGCTCTAGAGCGCCCTGGACTGTCTATAGGCGTTCCAGTGCATTAGAGTTTCGCGCAACCGAACTGTTCGTTTGTCCTCTCCCCTTTCCTCTCAAGCACCTGCTATTTTATGGGGGCATCAAAAACACGAAGGTTAAAGTACGGTGAGTTCCAGTGACATACCAGTTTTTTAACCCTTTCGTCTGATGGTTCGTGTCTGTGCACTTAGGAGGAATTTAATTTAACAGAACTTGTTCAGTTTTTAAGTTGTTTTTAGTACCGATTACTACCGATTACTACCGATTTAACTAGTTTAAGAAGTTTCAAACTCAATATATTTTCAGTGGCGTATCTACCGGTGCGCCATGTGTGCGAAGCACACAGGCCCGGCCCCGAAAGGGGCCCGTGAGCTCCACAGTGAAACTACAAAAAATAAAATTATTAATTGTGTTTTTTTTTTTTTTTTATGGTATAATAATAATTAATATCTGGGCAATAGTCTATCTACGCGCAAAAAAAATACCGGCAGCGGTATAGTATTTTTATTCTGACTTGAAACACTGCATTATACAAGGATGTTTCAACATCGCGTCACTCGTCTTCTATTAATTTCATAGAAAATCTATTTATTGTAAGTTTCCCATTTGAAGAAATAAAAATTATGTGACGCCCATGTCTTTTATTTGTTTCATGTATGCCGACTAGATGTTTTTTTAGTGTTTCAATTCGGATTAAAAATACTATATATAGTTTTTATACCACTTTTGAAAATGGTGAATTCACTATTGGGCGTGGCGTGGCACCCAAAAAAAAAATTCCGCCTCCGGTGGGGTATCTGTAATGGGCCCGCGAAGATTTTGACACACAGGCCCGGAGCTGGGTTGATACGCCACTGTATATTTTTACTTACATAATTATATGTTTGTACAGTCGTGAGCATAAAAAGTTGGACACCCGACTGACAGGTCTTGTCTTTTTTCGCTATTTTGGGTATTTCAGTCTTTTCTCTACAATGGATTTTTAGTCAAATATGACAATCCCTGTCATTGCCGTAGGTATAGCTGATGAGCTCGTTTTACAATAGGAAAAAACGGGTGTCCCACTTTTTATGGTCACGACTGTACATAAAAATGGCTACGTTGACCAGAACCAAAACGGATTGTAAACAGTTTAAAAATACCAACAGACGAGGGATGTTTCACGATCGGCATTGGTGTACAAATTTACGGCAATAATTACGGCAGTGAGCGTAATGATTTAGGAATTGTGGGCTTTGAATAGATAAATAAGGGAAATTGAGGCAGTGATAGAGGAATTGACGGCATTGAATCGATTTCGGAATTGACGTGATTAATGTCAGAATTGACGGCATTGATATCGGAATTGATGGCATTGATGTCGAAATTGACGGCATTGATGTTGGCATTCTTGACATTGATAGCAACATTGTCGGCATTGACAGAAATGTTCGCAGCAATCGCCATAGGCATTGACTAGGCAGTGTTATTAAACATTGCCTAACTTAGGCAGTGGTGTACACATTTTTGGGTAGGTGAAATACCCCTCGCCAACAGAATACGTTGATGGGTAAACTCTTGGGTTCTGCTGAACAATTCAATTTTTCAATGATAAAGCATCACCCTCTGAATGTCATGTCACCATACAAACCACAAAAAAAGTGTTGAAAATTTTAAACACTTTCAAATTATGCTTGCAAAAATGGCGACCGTTTGCAAAACATGTTTGGTTTCAACACAAATTCAACGGAGCGTTAAGCAGAACAATCGCAAAGCGTTTACCAAGGTTTGTATCTGGTGAACGCAGCCGTCTTTTATAACTTTGTTTTTTTTTTAACTAAAAACGTAGATTATAGCTATTTTCGGGTTCGAAAAAAGCTATAATCTACGGTTCTAGAGCGGTTCAAAACAATCGCACAGTTCATCAATCAACAAAATGACAACCGCTCAGCTATCATAAATTTCAATAATAAACTGTGCGATTGTTTTGAACCATTCTAGAACCGTCCTTTTTTCGAAACTGAAAATAGCTTATATCAAAGAACAAAATTTTTAGCAATTTCCGTCAAATTCAGGCATTTGTGAAATACGTACTGTAGTGAGTTTTGAACAACATCATATACTGTCACGAAATCGACTTATAGAGACCCGGGGCTCAAGCCCCCCCAAAACCAACAAGCTAGTTGCGCCCCTGCCCCCACAGTTATTCGATCTTCTCAAAAATGCTAGCGCACATTCATAACAATTAGCGCAGCCTAGCGCAAGTTGTGTCATAGCTAGCGCAGCTATCGTAGCTGTCATACAGGGTGGACAAAAAAAATAATGAGCCCCTACAAGTGATTTTTAAGTTTTCAAAAATATATATGAATCTTCCTTGAAGCTAGCGCAGGTAAAATTCGAGCAACCGCATTACCCCTTCAAAACATATACAGGTATCTATCCCACCTAGTTGTTAAATCCTATTTAAAAGGCTAGCGCAAATTCGTGACACCTAGCGCAGCCTAGCGCAAGTTGTGTCATAGCTAGCGCAGCTATTGTAGCTGTCATACAGGGTGGACAAAAAAAATCATGAGCCCCTACAAGTGACAAGGGGCTCATGATTTTTCCCCCCCGAATAAAATACCTGTATATGTTTTAAAGGGGTAATGCGGTTGCTCGAATTTTACCTGCGCTAGCTTTAAGGAAGCTTCATATATAT